AAACAGTGATCAGGTAGGATGTTTGCAGATAAATAAAAGCATAATGTTCTTAAAATAGTTTAGAACATCAACAAAGAACAGGTTGACTTTCAGTCTTCTTTTTTAAATAACAAAAAATTTTTACTACTAAGTTATCACCTGTCTACTCTGACTGTGCTAAAGTTTCAAGCTGTTTCCATCTGCAAGGGTATTTTAAGCAAAGGTGAAAACATATTTAGAAACTGTGTTTTGGACAAACACTGTGTTAGAGAGAGGATTTTGGGACAACATATTCCCTTGCAAACATGCACAAGATTGTTCTTAAAAGTCTGGTTGGAAAGTCTTTATAACCAGTACTTTGACACAGTGTTTTCGATACACTTACTTTACCTTCATTCCTGCAGGATTCACTTATTTTCTGATAAAAACATTCCTTTCTAACCAGTGATCTCTGATTAAGTTCATTACCTGAGGAAAAAAACTTCAGTGAAATAAATACAACCTTAACTTGCCTTGAAAGGGAAATGGTAAGTAGCAGCCTCACTGTTAACAGTAGTGGAGCTTACCCCTTTAGCTGTCACAGGCATATACAGATCTGGTACTCCTTCCTGAGCATATTTTCTGCTGCATCAGAGCAGCCCAGCAAATTGGGAGGAAAGTGGTTATTTCTTCAAGATGATCATGATGAAAACCAAACATGGGAAAAAATAATGAAGCCTCCTCCTCTGTACACACTTGACAATAGAGAGTAATGCAGCCATCCAGAAAGGAGAAAAACACAACTGCTCCTTTTTTCCAGTTCTTTCTCCTTCAGACTCTCTTCATGTGAGGGGTAGTATATCTCTCCAGTTGTGAGATACATAGATTTGTATGTCCTTGTATGTTGTGACTTTATGTTCTCTGTATGCTGGGAGGACACGATGAGGTTGTAGGTGTTATAAAATCGTGTATGCTGCAAGATTGGAGTAAAAATGACATTTGTAGTTAATGTGTGAAATGTTTTTTAGGCGCTGACTCTCAAAGATTTAGTAGTTTTTTGGGGTTTTTTTGTTGTTTTTTTAAGTAGTGGCTGTTTTTCTATTTTACTGTCTCTGAAAGCCTCTGGTTGAAGATCAAACTTGACCAAATCGTAAAAATTCAGAATTTCCACACTGGAGGTTGTTTCTGAATAACAGGCTTACACAAATATTTATGTGCTTTGACAGTTCTTGCCTATCCACTTGCTGAAGCTCCAAATGATAATAAACTGGATGTCCTTTTGCTATAGTTGAGCCAGTGGTCTGCTTTTTTAGTGGAGAGAACAGTTGCTGGTGGCCAGTTTGCTTTTCTTGACTCCATTCTAATTTTTATTTTCTTTTTTTATCTTGAATCTTACAAAGAAATTTGAAAACATTTTTACAGATTTTTTTTTGCAGTTCACTTTCTAAAGAGCATAGGAAAGACTTTGTTTAAAGTCATTGTCTTGGCAAGTGAAGCTGTTCAGAAGGCTCACTACTGTGTACATAATTAAAGCACATTAAATTTTGGTTAGTGATTTGCTTATCAAGCATTATAATTTGTGGTCTTTTCCGAATGATATTTAGACAGTTTTTGGACACTTTGAGGACACTTTCAGTGTTCCTGCATAAGCAGCTGCAATAGTTAATTGCAGTGATTGTTTAAAATACTTGCACCTGTTTCCAGTTTCAGATTCCAATTATTAGATCTATTTATGGTTTTTACTGGCAAAAATAGTCTAATCACAAGTTCTTTTAATAGCATTCCTTGTTTTAAACTAGCTTCTCCTGTAGTTTTATTGTGCTTGAATCTCTGTTTTGAGACTTTTGAATAAGCTTTTGGGATGACTAGAAGAAAGCAGCTTTCTGTTAGATAAGGTTTTTGAAGATTTACTCAAATACTCTAAATTTTAAGTTTACTTATGTTGCTTAGAAGCGGGGGTGGGATACAGAAACAGTTTGACACGTTTTGGTATATGTGTTTATGCTGGGATTCTTTCCAATCTTATATTTTTAGATTGATTCTTTCTGAGGTCTCTTTAACTTTGAGAATTTTGAATGTAGTGCTATCTACATGTATTAAACTGCTGCTTACCCTTTCTTATGCTGGCTGAGAAGCTTGTTGGTGACTTGAGGGGGTGTCAGCTGCTCACACATATCCAGTCTTCTCATTAACTTTATTCTGTATTTTCACTTAGTTCTTGTTGCTTAAGAACTCAGAAGAAACATGTGGTATTGATTTTAGGAGTGTGATTTTTCTTCTATTAGAGCCGTGTTCATGAATATATTTGGTAAAATATGTCTTCAGCTGGCACATAGAATATGACATATCTTGTCGTTCCTGCTGTCCATCATTGGTAATTGCACTGAGAGTATGTGTCTGCAGAAGAAGCTCTTGTACTATCTCCTGTAAACTCCCTCAAATACCTGTTGACCTTTCTCTTCATCTTACTGTTTTCTTATGTTTATCTCAAAATGTCACTTCCTGGAAGGAAAGCTTTGAGCTGATCATACAGTTAGCGCTAGAATTTTTCACCTCTGTTGAGTCTTCTTCTGATTGACTGAAGGAAAGCAGACTGTCATTCAAAACTCCTTAATGACTCTAATTGGATTATATTGCTGGAGAAATCAACAGCTTTTGTGTATTTATGCAGTGGTGTCTGCAGTGTAGACAGATGTAAGTTCAAACCTTGTTTTCTGATTTCTGGCTGTTTCATGCAGTTTGAATCTAGATGATTCAAATGACTTGAATCGATGAAGTTGGTAGAGTTATGGAGCTTTTATTATTCCTGTTGTATGCAGCACCTGGGACTGAAAATTCGAAATAAAGTTAAAAGCGAAATCTTCCTGGCACTTGATCTTGATGGTGCAAAATTGTGAAGGTGCACAAAGCACATCACCAGTGACTCATTCCAGTGAGTCAGTCACTGTAACTACTAAAACTTCATTAATCTTTTTCACTCAGGGGAATTGTATTTGGGGACATGCAGGTTAACTGTGGGGTTTACCAAAAGTATTTTTATTTATTGATAAAGCACACCCATTGTAAAGCATCTTCAAATTAGGGTTGTGTGACTATACCTTGAACATATTTTTACTAAGGTCTGAGATAAATTGTTACCATTTTTTTTTGAAAAGCTCAAGCATTTCAGTGATGGTTGATGATTCTTTTGCTTTGCAAAAGAATTCCAGTATCTAGTAACAAAATGTTAGTAAATTTGATCAGAAAATAAAGACTGTCACTTGCCTTCAGAAACTGAGTTTTGAATATGAGAAATGTACCTCCAAAATACGTTATTCCCACACTGAAATATTTTGATTCTTAACCATTCAGTAACACTCCCGATTTCTCATTCTTTGTCAGCCCCTGTACATTCTTTGGCTCCTGTACAGCTGCTGTCTCTTGGTGAGAACATGTCTCTTGGTGTGGGAAGGATGTCTTGTTCTGGCGACCTCATTCTCTCTAACTGCATCTTACACAGAGCCCTCTGCTAGCCTTGGAAAAGCTTCCCAAGGTTTCAAATCTTTCAGGTGGTAGAAATTTTCATCTGTTTTTGTTATTGAAAATTGAGCACATTTACTGCCACACCGAAATGTGAGTAACTTTTACAGGAATACAGGGAAGTTATTTCTCCATAAAAGTGGGTCATAGTAGAAGTAAAAGTTATCCTAAATGGCATTACTTGTGTTTTCTCTTTTTATAATAGCGTTTTGCCACTTTGAAGGTTGTTTCTTTGCTACTCAGTTGAGGGAGAGAGGCACTGATACTGTTTGACTGTATTAATGAGCTTGGATTTGACAGTCAAATTGAGGAGCTCAGTCCTTTGCTTTTTTAATGTTTGGGATGTTAATGTTTTAATATGGATGTGACCAGAGTCATATTGAGAAAAGTGGCTGAAAAACTTCCATTTAAAAGCCCTTCAGTCAGCGCATCTATTAAAATGTTACTTTGTGTTTCTAGTACTGAAATATTGAAGGTAATAATGCTGCTATAATTTATTTTAGATGTAAACCTAATAGCACTTCAGAAAAATGTAAGGGCTGATAAAGTACTCTTTGTGTAACAATGCATTTTTTACCTAGTGCTTGTTTTAAATCCCTACAGCTTTTTTTGACATTAGTCATTGGACAACTCTGTATTTTAAAGAAGCTTGAAAAGGTTGTGCTATATTGAGAGATCCATGTGTATCTTTCTGATGCCTTGAAATAATTTAGAACTGGAATGGGCCATTTTTGTCTGTTGTTAGAATAATCTCTTGTTTAAACCAGGCTTTAAAACAGCACTCTTTGTTTTGAGTGTGAATCTTAAAACTTTATCTGATCATTAAAGATCACATTGTAAGATACTGCTTAAAACCAAGATGGTGTTAATTTTGTTGACAGTGAATTTCAAAATCACGTTTTACTAAAAGCTCTTATACTCCTAAATGGCTTTATAATTAATTCTGCTTTTAACCTTTGGGGTTTAAGGACTGTACTGATTGGAATAGTTTGTTCTGAATTCAAGAGAAAACATGCTGCAGTGGAGGTTGGTAATAAAAGAAGTGGCTGTGAATTTTTTCTTTTTTTTGGTAGTGGTTACTTTACTTCAGATCTTGGCAAGTTGTGTATGATCTATTTATTGTGCAGAAGGTGAGGAAGAGACCTTCTGATTTATTAAAAAAAAAAAAAAAGGAGTGTTTGCTAGATGTGCCTCTGCACACATCCTGTATTTGAAGTACAGGATGTAGGTCTTTTCCTCTCTAAATTCTTGAGTGGACAAGCAAAGGTGCTGAGACATAATCTAGAAAACTCCTATGATACATAATTCCACAATAACGTCACTGATGTGTGTGGTGTTCTTTTGGGGTTCATGGCAAAAATAACTTAGGATTGTGCACTAACATAATACGGTAAACTTGTCTGAATCATTGGAATTACTTAGAGTAAACCAACTGGGGATGTGGATTCTGTTTTGAAGCTGCAGTTTGTTTATAAGCAATATGTTTTTAGTAATGAGATGCTGACTGGCATTTGTGTCTCTAGAGAAGAAGAGGAACGTCTGAGAAATAAGATCCGAGCAGATCATGAAAAGGCTCTGGAAGAGGCTAAGGAGAAATTGAAGAAATCACGTGATGAAATTCAAGCTGAGATTCAGACAGAGAAGAACAAAGTAGTGCAAGAATTGAAAAAGAAAGACAGCAAACCACTGCCCCCTGTTCCTTTACCAAATCTAATAGGGATAAACAGTGGAGAACCAGCAGACCCGGATATCCGAGAGAAGAGGAACAAAGTTAAAGAGGTAAAGATGATGTGGTCCTCTGTGTTCTTCTATCTGATAGCAGTTATTTGTATGGCATTTAGTTGCTATGATTTACACTAAAAAGAAAAGAAAAACAGGTCTACAAATCTTTTAATAAACAATAAGGTAAAAGTGCACAGGTATTAATGAGCATCAGCATTATTGCTTCTTTTTCCTTGTGTTGGAGTGTTAATATTTCACTGGATAACAACGTAAAAATTATTTTAAGGATTTCTTCAGCTTGGTGGTATGAGTTCAAAGTGAGTTTCTTGTTAACTCGTTGAACAGTAACAAGAACATCTTTAAAGTAGAGCATGACTTTGTCAGCTTCCTTTCAAAGAATGGGTTATGTTACTGTATCACAGGACAGTTTTAAAAGTTTAAAAAGCAGATTGAAAAGATAATTTTTTAGACACACTGAAGTTTTATTTTGAAAAGCATATGAGTATTTGTAATAATTTTCAAGTATTAGCAGAAGGTCTTTTATTTCCTTATGAGTTAATTTAAGTAGCTTGAATGTTTTACAGGTAAATGACGTAAACTAAGATGTTTGCTTAGGCTTTTGATTCTGTGGCAGCTTATGCTGTGGAAATTACTGTTTCTGGTCTTACCCTCTCCACTCCTGATTGGGCATGAGATTTGTTGCCCTCTTTTGCCCTGACAATGCCAATTTCCTATTACTATTGCCAGGCATTTTTCTGAGTCTGTACTTTTAACTAATACAGCAGAAATCTCGTATGGCCTTATTTTTCTTTTTCTTTCCTACAATCTGATTAGTTTTATGCCTAAAAATCGGGTTAGCAAGCGGAAATGGTTCAGCCAGAGTTAGACAAGCACAGGCTCTGTTATTAAAGAACATCCAGGACCACAGCACTTAGTATTTACATCAGCTAAATCTTCTTTAAAATTCTGAGTTTAGTTAGCTCATAAAACCAAACAGAGATCAGTCATACACCTGTCCTTGGCACAGGAAGGAGTTGTAGTTGAAGTGTGTGCCATGCTGTGGGTAGATCACCCAACCTGGAATTTTAATTTGAATATTAATGATAACTAGATGGAATCCACTCTTACCAAGTAATGAACAACTGCTTATGATACACGAGAGATACAGCGTGGAACCGTAACACTGTTGGTAGCAGTTACTATATACGGAGCTGTATCACAATTTGAATCTCTGAAGTAGCAAATCCTTCCCCACAAGATGTGCCCATTAGTGATTACTGCAGAAGTACTTCTGACTGAGAAGTTGTGTGTGGAATATTGGACCTCTTTTACCCTGCTTGGTTAGGGCTGTTTCCCAAAGGACAGCACTGAACTGTGGATTTGAAAAGGCTCTACCACTTTTCAAGCCTATGTCTTCAAACATTTTCAGTAAGAATATACAGGGTATTTTGCTTTTCAAAATGTCTCTGTAGGGTGAAGATGAACAGTGAATGGGTATGGTCATGTAGTTGTCAACACTTCTTAATTTTTACTACAGGTTACTGTAGTTAAACACCTTTGCCACTGATGGATTTAATGGATGGAATAAAATTGAGTTGACCAAGAACTGCAAAATTACTGCACACAACTAACAATGAAGAACTAGCTGGAAGAAATTATCAACCAAAGTTCCTCTAGATCAAGCCTGGAATTGGAGGGAGGGTTGAAAATTGGTATTTACATTTCTGAGGTTGTTTGGTCAGAATGTAGACTGAGAGGAGATGATGAGCTATAGGTTAATACAGAATGGCGATTTTCTTGGTGTCATGAATAAGTAGTAAAATTTGGACAATTCTTGCTGATCTAAACCTGAGGGTATATCTATTTGTAAGGAATTCAGGGTAGTTTGTGAGGATCACTAGGTTATAGTTCTGGTGATCCTTAACTGTAGTTGCCCCACACCTCGTGATGTAAAAGGCTTACTCCTTTTTTTGGTGATCAGCCTACGTGTGAGTCACTCTGACAATCTGTGTTTCTGTTGCATAACTTGTTGATGACTACTGTTGTGGTTTCTGAGGTGTAACTTTTCATAGCCAGACAAAAGGTTTTTGTGGGTCTATGTATTGGGTAGGTAAGTCCTTCAGTTAGGATAATAATGCCTTTGTACTATGCAGTCTTCAGTTGTGCGACCACTTTGCTTGAACAGTCCAGGATCGTACTAGTATGACTGAAATTTGTCTTTGTGTGAATTACCTTCGTTGAATCAGTCTTGTTCTGGTACTTGTTGGTACCAGGTGATTTCCAGAATTTTTAATTTTTTTTCATGCAGGGCAGCAGATTATCACTTCTACAGCAGATATGAGAAGACATAAAATACAGGGGCAGAAGGTCTTCTAGGGAGAGCAGTCAAATGATAATGCTGAGGAACCCATGTTGGTACAGTGTCATTTTTTTTGGCTTTTGGGTCCTCTTCTGGATTTTGGATCTGCTATGTTGCAATGAATACAATGTGGCTGAGATAAAACATGTATTGACAGTGTCAGATGGATAATATTTTGCCTGAAACCTGTTTTTGGCAGCATCAGATGTCTCAGAGAAGGCTTTAGTGATTCCAGAGACGTGAAGTGCATTTTGAAATATGTTATGTTCATCACTGAGTTGCTCTCTCACTGTTTTATGTAACCAGTATAGACTAATGCACATTGTCTTGGTAGATGAGATGGAGACTTAGCAAAAAAAAGAACAAGTTTCAGGAGGCAATCTCTCTTAACATTGGTCTGCAACTAGCACATATAGCATTTGTGACATGCAAGACATTATAGTTGCCTGGATTGAGGCCTAAAAATTAGCACAGGGAAGCTCCTAGCTCTTTGAAGGCTGCATATCTGGCTTTGGAATTCCAGGGGGTCCCAGGAAGGCATTTGACCTATGCCTTGGTTTACTGTAAAGTGTCCTTGTGCATGTTTCAGGAGCTTCACTCTCAGAGAACAGCTTTAGGCTGTTTAAATGCATGAAACTAATGATGTTATTCAGCCTGTTTCACCTCTTATCAAATGGTGGTAAACTGTGTAGAATTAGGCTGAATGATGGGGACAGTATGGAACACACACCACACACGGGATCTTTACAGTTGTGAGAAAGGCTGGAAAATTTTCAAATGAGGATTTAGTTTCTATTATTTTTACAGTAAATTTATTACCAATTTTTGTTTCCAAATAGCAGCTTGATAAAGTCTTTTTTTTTTTTAACAGATCTCTGTATAAAAAGTAATTTCTCAGTACTTAAATATTTTAAAAAGTCTTACTTTGATTTCAAAAAAATGCATATAAAAGAAAAAAAATTGTGTAATGCTCTTAAGAGAGCTTTGTAAAACATTTGAAAGCTTTATATAATAACAATGCTTGCTGAGCACAGAGAGGGAGCCTTCTTAAGGTTGTGAAATAAACTGGGAGCAGAATCTACATCTTCTTGGGGGTTTTTTTGTGTCTTTGGTTCTGATAATTATATGTAGTGTTACATTGTATTCTCAAGTATAATTAATTTACAGAATTGCAAAATTTGTCTGTCTTCTAGCTAACTATTCAGTTATTCCAACAAACAGTATTTATGAATTGGCTGATTATTTTAGATGCACAATGACAACTTCGAGAACTAAAGGTTTTCCACCTGCTTACAATATGTGCTTTGTAGTATATTAGCTTGTTGTTCTGGCTTTTAAAAAATGCTATGATGTTTAATTAACTGGTATTTTAAGAACAAACATCTGAAAATTTTTTCAGATTCTTGCTGCTACACTTTAGCTTTCTATTAATATTTCAGTGGGTTTTTATAGTATATAAAAGAAGAATGTTGGAAGTAGAAAATGTTCTTTAAGATGGTAGAAGTAAATTGTATAATCTTACAAAAAGATTTTAAGGCATCTCTTTTTGTTGTGGTTAATGCAGAGAAATTAAGAACAAAAACTCATCTTTTGGAAGTCACTGACTTCCCTTCCAAGGTAAATTAGATATAAATTGCTTGAACACTTGGAATTTTTGGCACTTAATTTCCATTATTATGTCCTTTAAATGATCAGAATATTAATTTTTTTCCTCTGCAGTTTAAATGTAATCATTACATAGTGCTCTGTAGTCTATAATGAGTTTTATTTCCTTTAGAAGTTAAATTTTACCCAGTCAAATAAGGAAAACTTTGTAATTTTTTTCACCCTAGTCAGGGTTCAGGTTTTCTTTACTTTCAGCATGTCATAGTGCTATCTTACTGCCAGCATTCATTTTGGGCTAAAGTAGTGTATTTCACCCAGTAATGGTACTAATCCCATGCAGGTGATCCTTCCTCTCTCCTCAGCACCAGTGAGGCCACACGTGGAGTTGTGTGTCCAGTTTTGGGCTCCTCAGTATGAGAGAGACATGAGCATACTGGAGAGGGTAGAGCAGCACAAAGATGCTTAAGGGACTGGAGCATCTCATCTGAGCAAAGGAGGAGACAGCTGGGACTGTTTGTCCTGGATGAGAGAAGGAATCTTGCCAGTGTATAAAATAGCTGAAGGGAGGGTACAAGGAGGATGGAGCCAGGCTCTTTTCACAGTGACAGGCACAAAGGTAATGAGCACAAATTGAAACACAAGAGGCTCCATCTGAACATCATAAAACATTGTTTATTGTGAGGGTGACCCAAGCACTGGAACTAGTTGCCCATAGAGGTTGTGGAGTTTCCCTCCTTGGAAATACTTATAAAATGACTGAAAATGGACCTGGGCAGCTTGTTCCAGATTACCCTGCTTGAGCTGGGAGGTTGGACCAGATACCCTCCAGAGATCCCTTCCAACCTCAAGCAGTTTGTGGTAGGATGATGTTTGTTGAATAACCCTGGCAGCTGAAAGAAGGCTTCTCTAGAATGTTACACAAGTACACATAGTAAACTTAGGAGTGAAATAATAATGTTCTAGGTTTCAAAGAGACTGGAAAATATCAGTTCTCTGGAGCTTTTATTCTATTACTTGTTCTGTATTTGTTGAGATGTGCAGTCATGTAATTAGGCAATGCTACTTCTAAATGCACTTTTTTTAAATTGGGCTC